ATTTGTCATATGTATATGTATACATATATAAGAGAGTAGTTAAAAAATCTCAAATTTTGGTTAAAGGAAAGATATCTCATTATAAAACACACGACTAGTTAGAAATATAATAATTTTCATTATATAAATACAACATTCACTTTTTAATTTATACTACATTTAAAAATTATTTCCATACTTTGGCTTCTTTATACATGTGTCTAGCTAGATTTTTCAAATCGAGAATTTCAAGTTCAAACTCGAAACGAGCTGTCGTGGCTCAGCTCATTTAACAAACAAATATGATCTTGAGTTGGACTCGTATAAACTCAGTTCAAATCCTTTAATAAACCTTAAAACCCAGACCAAAACTATGTTAGAGGACAATTCGGTTCAAATAGCAGCTTTATATTTTGTAACCTTGGGTGAACTTTGGGGTGTGGCGTAAAGAGGGCTACCCGTGTTTCATCTTACTCTTACTAGATAGCGCAGAGCTGGGCTTAGCTAGTTTTTACTTGATGTTGCGCCATGTCGAAAGTCAAGCAACTACTGTTTACTAATATGTTTCCAGCTACATAGAACAAATGGTGCTCCCATTTGTGCAAAGCTTTATCTCATTGGCGAGAATTGCTTTTCAAACCTAAGCCCCTATTGATTTGAACAATACCGTGCATGCTTAAGATTTATTTGGACAGACGTGGTGAAACATAGTTCTCTTAACTAGGGATATGCTAACTGCAAATAGAAATTGAGTGTTTAAATTATTTTGGATCAACAACATTTCTTCATCTCAAGATGATCGCCGTTTTTTCAGGTCATCGATATGCTTTTGTTCAAGGGAACAGAGGAATTGAGCAACATTGTCGAGCACGCGAAACAGAGGCACCACATTCTTGGCCAATATGTCTTAGGTCGTGATGGCTTATCTCAAGATCTCGAAACCAAAGACCAGGGTGCGTCCGATTTCCTCAAAAACTTTTATAAAAGCAACTACTTCTAAACTGTTTTTTTTCTTCTCCCCTTGTGGATTGTTTGTTATGAGTGATGCTGGTAGAACCAGTAATAAAAAAAAAACTTAAATTGTCGGTCGTTTTCAGCTTCTGTTGTTGGGATAACTGTTCGTCAAAATGCATATTCGCAGTGATGCGAAGCACATTCGTCGATTTCAGGCTTACGAACGGTTTTAACTTATAGTTTATTGAACATGCTGATCTCCATATGCGGTTTAATAATCAGTTATTTGTTATAAAATGCATGCAGTACCTTCTGACTAAAAACCATTTAGTTGTTTGAATTTGATCGGGTCAACCTATCCCCTCTTAGTCCAGCTTATCGCTGTTATAATAATGCAATTTATTAGCTTAGCTATACTCAAAATTATTTGGTAATTGGCACAATCTTTTGCAGCTGTGCAGTAGAATCTGTAGCAAATTCTTCAATATATGAACCAAGTATCAAATCTTTTATGTATGAATGACAGCCCAATTGTGTGTGGATAAATATATGATAATCTGTAGTAGGTAGTAGTTGAATTGGTGGGTTGGTCCCTGGTCTTCTCTATTTCTTATTATTTAATTTGAGCCTCTCGGGATTACTATACTAAACTAGTACAACACACGTGTATTATACGGGTGCTTGTTAAAAAATTATTCTTAAATTTTAAAATTAATGAGAAAACTATATTAAATTTAGTTTACTATTTTACAAAAAAATAAAAAATATATTACTATATATTTTAGAATGATATGTGTTACTTATGACTTACATGTGTTATATTATATTAGTTTTTATAACTTATATCATATAACTACTTGAAATATAAATATATTAGTTGATAAATAATTTTATTTTTTTAATTAATATTAAAAATTATTTTATTATTGTTATAAAGATAAATATAAATTATTTTTTTATACATACAATATGGATGTTAAATCCAAGCTCATCAAAATAAGATTAATTTGATATATTAGATATGTAAAACTGATAAAAAATACAAAAAGTTATTAACTTTTAAAATATATATACAATTCAATAGTTATAATAAGGAATGATATTAAAATGCAATTAATACATGTAACATGACCATAAATAATCAACATATTTATGGTAATCTGAACTTAATTATTTTTGGTTTGGAATTAAATTAAAACTAGTACAACTCCCGTGTATTACACGGGTGCTTGTTAATTTTTTTTCTTAAAATCTAAAATTAATGAGAAAAATAGTTAAAAATTTAAATACTTTTTATAAAAATATATATTATTATATATTTAGTATGACACTTTTTATTTGTGCGACTTACCTGTGTTATATTATAATAATTTTTTTTAACTTACAACATATAACTACATTAAACATAATTATATCAATTGAGAAATAATTTTATTTTTCTAATGAATTTTAATAAATATAATTATTTTTTATTATTATAAATATAAATATAATTTATGGATGTCAAATCGAATATCATCTAAAGATGATTAATTTGATATATTATATATGTAAAATCGATAAGAAATACAAAAATTATCAACTGTTAAAATATATTTACAATTCAATAGCTAGTTGAAGGAAACAAATCAAAAGTCAGAGATATATTAGTCACTTAGTGTCTCATTATGTAAAATTACAAGGAATTAAAGGGTTA